TGAATGGTTTTACTCTCTCAAGTCACAGCATGACTGACCATGTCTAGGAGCAAATATAAAATATTGCACTGCTGGTAGGAGTTGATGATGATGACAGATCTGTTTCTATGGAGGTGTCTTAATCTACTTTTTAAAAAATTTTACCATATGTGATGTTGATGTTCTGCAGCATGATTCAAAACATGTTTCATAAGCAAATATATTTATTTGTAAAACATCTAGACTTGGATAAATGGCTTTACATCTGTTGGCTTATCTGCTTTTGGTACCTCTATATACATGACTGTTTTATATATTAATGACTTTCTGAGAAAAGCTTAGCTCCAGGAATTTTTCTATTTACGTTGAATTTGCCTTCGGGTAATTTATTTGGAAGTAGAATTGAGATGAAAGAAGACTTTTCATGCACCAAATTACCAAGTAAACTAATTTCCCTGAAAGAATGTTTGGTGCCTGAATACAAAAGCATCCACAGACTACCTCTAGATATAGGCAAAGTAGGTAGCTGCTTAGGTGAGCAGACTGCATGGGCCCATAGAGGTGTTGCTTGCTTATTCTGCGTAGCTAGAGTAGTGCCGGAGTAGTTAGTGCTGGAGGCTGCTTCTTGGGCATCCCAATGTATCAGGGCGTGCAGAAAGGCACTGCCGAGGAGGGAGGACAATAGTCTCCTCTCTTTCCACCCTGAAACCAGCAACTACTACTTTCATTTGTCCTGACCCCATATTTTCTGATATATTGTTTCTTCAACTGTCTGAGGCTTTTGCCCTTCCCTTATCCCCACTGACTGTCATCACTTCTTTTTGCATGAGGAGCTCCATCCTGGATTCTTGGGTAACAAGGTTCAGTGTTGCTTTTTCTTCCCTCACTTTCTCTTTGTAACCACTGCATGTATTTCTTGTTAGGGCCAGAATGGGTTTCTTTAAGATAGATGGCTCATCATCTGGAGGTCTAGTCAACGTGAGTAAGAGGACAGGACACAATGCAGTAATTGAGGCCTCTATCAGCAAATGCAGATGACTGATAAGTTACTTGTAAAAGTAATACTGTTGGGTTTTGTGGTTAGAGGCACTACTTTGTGGGAATGGGCACTGCCTTTTTGTTGCAGAGTACAAGTGTTACTGATCTGTATAATCTGTATTTTATGTAAGCCTTATCAAAACTATCCCACTTATTTGACTGTCGAGACGTTCACAAACAGTATTGTGGTGTTTAACAACAGAATTTGTGCAAGGGCAGGGTAATTTTGAGGTTGATGACTGAGCTGGTACTGTCATGTGGAACACACTCCATTAGCTTTTGCCTTTGATTGTTCCTGGTACAGCACTCACATTAACAGCTTACATGTAGGAAAACAGGGTCATCTAACAATTAAGTACGTTAAAATAGGTGGTAATAATGCATGTCTGCTAAGATAAGTCACATTATTATTCATAGTACCTGATAAAGCAGCGTATCCAACATACTGATGCTGAAAACCCTGCCAGCAGCGAAGGGCAGTCGAAACATAAATGCCAGATTAGATCCCTTCTCTCGCTCTTTCTGTTAGGGAATTAAAAACCAGAAAATACTTTTAGTTCTGATTTTGGAAGAACTATAACAACATCATCAAATTGATATTACCTTGGAAGAGGTCAAAAGTGTAACATCGCTTTACTCCTCTGAGTATAATTTCTTTCTACAAATATGTAGCATCTTCAGTACTTACAGTGTTTCAGGTTGAAAAATTTTGTTTAATGTATATGTTGTTTCAGTCACCACATCTCAAATTGCCTGGGCATATTCTACTAGATAATTTTTAAAATTATTAAGGAATTTCAACTATGCGTAGAGCAAAGCTCTTGTTATTCCTGCTCCAATTTTTTGGTGCTGACAGTGGACTCCCATTCAGGTCCAGAAAGTCTACTAGGAACAAGAAACATGAACAGAATCAAAAGGGAAAAAATGGTATTTCAGTGAATGTGAGGATATTCTAAATATCCGATTCACACTCTAAACCCTTTCTTTCAAGAAAGGTTGCCTCTAATTTTTTTCCTTATTTAATACAAATGGAGAATGTAAGTTTTAAGTTTAGACCACAGGTGTTTTGGTTTTCATTTTCTCTGTTGTATAAGGGCCATTGCTTTCTCCTATGTGTTGTTCAGATTTAATTATCTGTAAAATGAGCAAAGTTGCAGCTGCAACAGCAGATGGACTTCTGATTTGTGTTATCTTTCTTCTGCAGGCCGTTAGGTTGAAAAGTCAATTTTGCATGTGTGTTTCAGTGCTACCTGAAGGCAACTTGCCTGACTTCAGTAGTCTTTCTGAAAATGAGGTGCTTAATGCAGAAATAACAATCAACTGTATATCTGACTGCATTAGATAATTTTTACTCGAGTTTTTAATTGCCTTTCATTTTGCATGAGGGAATTCTGAAACATCAAATGAACTACAGCACCACCTGTGAAGTGCTCCCTGCAAATGTTAAGATGAAATGAGTGGAAAATAGCAACAGCAGGCAACTTCAACAGCAATGAAGAAAATGTTCTTTCTTTAGAATAATTTATTTACCTGTATTTCAGCATGGCATAGTTTGGATAAGAAGTTAATTAACTGTTCAGCTTCCAACCTATATTCACAACTTTACATTTGTACAATAAATTAATAAAGAGAGGGGGGAAAAGTTCTAATATTTCTAATGATTTCCAGAACCTTTGCTGGAAAAACGAAGGAGCCTATGTAAAGCAAGAAAGAGAACTGAGATAAAAATCCTGGTTTCACTGCATTGAAGTACACAGGCTACAGCCCACAGAGTATTCCAGAAGCAACTGTAGACACCACATACTGGGAAAGCTGTTACTATTCTTACCTCTCTGTATCACTAAACTGTATGGATTAAGGGAATATGTTTAAGAAAAAAAAAAAAGCTGTCAGTTATAGTACACCAAGGAATTAAGTTAGGTTGGAACAGTCTTGAAGGCACTATCCAGCTGTTGGCACTAGTTGCCCTGAATAAACTGGCAATGCATGATTCCAGGCAGTTCCAGCTTATTCTCCCTGAAGTTACCATCAAGGGAGGGAGTGCTAACCTGGAGGAGCCACAGGTGCAAACTCTAATGGATAGTGGAGTGGTATAATCCAAATCACGTGTTTCCCACTGCAAACTGCTGCTTCTGTCTTTGTGTAACAACTTTTGTCTAGCTTCCTCACAGTTCTCCATTTTATGTGCTTAGCAGAATACCACTTACGTAAGGGTAAGCCTTTGTTCTATTTCAGGCAAAGGTCAACAAATCACAAAAGATCACCCAGATATTTGTATCTTGTGGTCAAAATGTAAGCACGATAGTCAACTGAGTAGAAGATTGACTTCTAATACTTTATCCTATGTCATCTGGACAGACTGAATTTCTGCAAAATTTGATTCCTGTGTAAGAAACTGGAGCTGGCATGTGAAGATAAGTTTGCGTGAAAAGGCTGTTTTCCATTAAATATATATTAACTATGTGAACATTATACAGTAAATAGTGAAATATCTCAAATTCAGTGAAATATCTGAAATCCCCCAAAATCTAGGGTATTTACTCTACAGCCAGGAAATGGAAATTATATGCTAATTCTGGATAATGAGTTTACCATGACATCAATTCACTAAAATATGTAAGATATCTGAGGTGAAGAGATTTGGAGGCTACATGAGACAACCTAGGAATAATATCTAGATTGATAGCAAGGGGAAAAAGAAATGAATAAAAGAGTAAAAGGTCTCTGTCCTTGAAGACTGGCACAGTGATGATATCTGTCTTACTCTCAAACTCAGAAAATGGTCTCAAAGATCATGAAGGTGATATTGTAAGTTTTGTGGACTGCAGAGGTAGATAAGTAGGTCCGATCATGAAAGATCTGTGAAAAAGAGGATTGTCTTTGAATTTACCAAGTTAAACAGATGTACAGTGTTACTTCGTATGCACCATCTAATGTTTTAGCGATACTATTTTGGACAAGCAAATTTAATTAAGCTTATCTCCATATAGCCTCCCTGTTCTACAGCTTGAAAATGCCAACATGTACACTAGAACATACAGAATATGAAGGTTTTATCTAGCATTAAGTAGCATTAGTATCCTTATCATCACTAGGACTGCCCTATGACAGAGAACAACTGCTGTTCTCAAACTGTCACAGTAGTGCAAATACCCCATACAAATACATGGAAATGTATACAGAATATGTAATTATGGTACTTTAAAGTGAGTTGGAATAAAAAATGCATTATAATAAAAGCAGTGTAAGTTTTAAGTGTTTAGTCAATTAAAATATTTTCCACATTAATTGCCTGTAGCAGCCTCTTGGACAACATATTAGCTCTAAACATTGTTATCCAAAAATATTTAATTTTCTTTGAGCAAATTCTGTGTTCACCTCTGTCTAGAGGGCTGGTGGATTAATATTATATTGTAAAGTGATGGAACTCAAATCAAACTTCATTTTTAAATGAGGGTAGAATTTGGAAAAAATAATCTTTTACATTAGCTCTGTAACCATAAAATCATTTCACTGTTTCCACTTGATTTGAAAGCATTGTTACAAAATCATAAAAAGTATTATAATGATAACATTTAAATTGGAGGTGGAAGAGGCAAATCTTACCTTTTCTAATTTGGATAGAGCAAGAGAGTAGCAGTCTTTGGCTCTGAACTGCATGAATCGCATATTGGCTGGGTGAGTTAGTTCTGTGATAATGCTTAGGCTTGAGAACAACCTGTATTTTAAAAGAATGGAACAGTTATACCTCTACTTACAACAATTCACAAATGTAAGGCTTTATATAATGCTATACACTTGTGTCCGTGTTTTTAGTGAAGTGCCTGAAACCTGTGGCAGTTTTTGGCACAATGAAATGCTGGTATACTAGCAGAGGAAACTACAAAACGTTCTCTGTAGAAGTCACAAAGAACAAACATAGATTCAAAGGTTGAGCTTATAAAATACTTTAATGCTAGAAAGGAACCACTTAATTTAATTACCAGAAAGTTTATTTAATAATTTCTAAAATGACACAAATCTGTAAGAAACATCAAAAAATACAAAACTATATACCCTGCACGTAGTATCTAGTTGCATGTAAACTACCATTTTATTAGAACCGGCTTATGTACTCTTTCCATTTGATTGGGTTTTGGGGGGTTTTTTTGAGCTCTGTTTGTATCCTGTATGTCCACAGAGTGAGCAACATAGATGAAAATTGACACTGCTTGGGAATTGCTGAGAAACAGTATGCGTGTGTGTACTTAGGATCTCACTTTGAAATATTTAAGTATACAAAATATTTATAAGTTAACACTAATTCAGGCTTCCAATAACAAAAAATAGCGAAGAAAGTTTAACTCTGATCTGGCTGAATTATACAGATTTTCAAGAAGCAGACTAAAGAGTCCCTCCCCAGCCCTCAGGGTGCTAAGAACTAGAAAGAAATTTGTAGTTTATGCTATGCAAATACTAAACAACTTGGAATAGAACTCAGATTATTATTTGAGTATTTCCTCTCCAGATTAGTGTCAGAAAATGAGATGCACATTTGTAATCTGTTCTGCTGATCCTGAAAGTACATGTGATAATAGATAACTGTAGTACTAATGACATCATTAACGTGGCTTCTGTTTCATTCACATAAAAAAGTGATTTTCTTGAAATCTAAATTTAGTAAGTTAATGTCAAATGGAATCCAATGTACCTTTTTGCAAGTCTTTAGTCTCTTTCC